GCCTCCGGACAGGCTCCTGTGGGTAGACTCAGTATCCTCACCTGCACGGGGCGCCCTGCTCGCCCTGCCCGGCAGACTTCAGCCCTGATCCCGAGGGTCCCCCGACTCCAGCACTGGCCTCCCCCGGCCCAAGAAGAGGCAGCTACTCACGTGCGGCGGAAAGCGGATCGGAGGTCCAGGTCTCCAGGGCCAATGGCCTCTGGGTTCAAAGACAGGGAGGAGTCAGGGAGGGGGCTCCAGAGGGGTCGTCTGAGAAGCTGGTGCTGGGGCGCCTGCCTATCCGTGAGCCCTGAGGACGGGCATCTTCCCCAGGATCCACCTCAGTCTTTCCCAGGGCCAAGGTACCAAGACGACCCCCACAGAGCCCCCCAGGAGACCCTGACTCGGCCGCAAGCCCCACTGCGTCCCGGGAGCCTCCGTCGAGCAGGGCCAGCACATGGTCAGTGCGGAGGTCTGGCCAGGCAGGGCATCCTGGTCGTACTGGGAAATGGAGGCAGGCGTGGCTTCCAGGACCCACTGGAGCCCGAGCCCAGGACGGACGCCAGGGCTCTCACCGTGGACGGTGAGGTTGAAGTTGGAGCTGTCAAATTTGTCCTTGGTGGACACCTCGCAGCGGTAGCCACCGGAGAAGGCCACCTGGGCATCGGTGATGTGCAGCTCGAACAGGTAGACCTGGGGGTGGGTGTCAGAGGGGATGGGGGCCAGGAGGAGACCAGGAGTGACAAATGCCCACCACCCTTTCCCTCAAGGTTACTAACCCAAGCAGGGCGTTAGTGTGATTTGTAAATGGGGCTCCTTCTCAAGACCATGACTACTGGGACCAGCAAGTGGTGTGGTGGTTAAGGCATTGGACTTCCACATGGCTAACCACAGTTCGAGTCCCAGAGTCTCTCTCTCTAGTCAGGTTAAATAATAATAATAATATGGGACCAGCAGTTAGCATAATGGTTATGTCGCTGGACTCCCATGAGTTGACCACGGTTCGAGTCCCAGACCCGGTGACTTAAACTCACGCCAGGCGCGTGTGCGTGCGTGCCCAGGATCCTGAGAGAATGGAGGAGAAGGGATTGCGGCATGACCATCCCCCCCAGGGGGGTGATTTCTTTCTTTCTGTCTCTCTGTCTCTCTCTGTCTGTCTGGTGAGCACACACGCCCTATGGCAAAAACCTCTCAAAAAAAAAAAAAAAAGAGGAAGAAGAAGAAAGAAAATTAATTAAAATAATTCTTTAAAAAAAGACCGTGACTGCCATCTGCTGGCCTGTGGTTGTGATGAAATGCAACTCTGTGATGGCTCCAAGGCCAATGGCGAGCTCTTCAGAGGAGACTCAACAGCCTGTCCAGCTGGACATGCCGCCCGTCCTGCCGAAGGCCCTTGCCTGGCCCAGCACTGGAGAAGGCTGGGAGCAGAGGCTGAGAGGTGAAGGCTCAAGGCCCCGGCCTGGCTCTCAGTGACCGTGGAGCAGTGACAATCCCTCAAGCTCTGCTTTCCTGCCTGTGTCATGAGGAATTATTCTGCTCTACCCCTGAGGGTCCCTGGCCCCTGACGCCCACCCATTTAGGGGCTCGACAACCTCCTAGTGGGTGCCTGTCGTGCCTCGTGGCTCCCCAAGCCTTCCTGAGCTCCTGGGCCCTCCAAACTTCACTAGGCCCCCTCGAGACTATCACGTCCTCCCAACCCACATGTCCCATAGCCCTCCTTTGGGCCTCGCCTGAACACCCAGCCCCGTCTCCAGCCTCTAGCACCCCCACGCCTGTTCCTTGCACCTCCGTGTGGCTCAGTGTCACGTGTCCCAGAGCATCCCCGTGCCCCCAGACGCCCCGGCCCACGGCCCCACCTTGCTGGCCCGGTCGTAGCTGTCGTGCAGCTGCAGGTGCTGGCCCGCCTTGCTGCTCAGGTCCACCCACTTGCCCTTGAACCACTTGACGGTGGGCGGTTTCAGGAGACTAGCTCCGGCCACGCGGGCCGAGAAGGTGATGCTGCCGCCTGCAGGAGAGGGTGACAGGCTGCCCTGCGGCCTCCCTCCCGACCCTACCCCTGGGCACAGTGGTCCACACTCACCCGCAGTCACCTCGCCATCCTGCGGCCGCGTCACGAAGAGGCCAATGGGGTCATCGGGTGCTCCAGGGCACCCAGGGACAGGACCATCAGGGGCTGCGGAGCTTGACCCTGTGGGCAGAGGCTTCTGAGACCCGCCCAGGACACCCCTACCCGCCAGCCCCATTCCTCCCCACCCAGTGTCCCTCACCTTCGGAACTTGGGGTGCTTCCTTCCAGCTCAGTGGCTGAGACCAGGGCTTCTCCAGGGGCTCCAGGGACCTCTGCAGGGGCCGGCACGGGCTCTGCCTTCTCTGGAGGGGGTCGGGCAAGGGGTCGTGGCGCAGCTTCTAACCAGAGACCCCCTCCCCTCTACCCTTCTCTCCTGAGCGTCAGCCCCATGAACCACTGCCTACCAAAGCCAGCCACGTCCGTCTGTCCTGTCCTGGAGCCATCCGGCATCTCACCCTCTCCGACCCTCAGAGACTGTCTCTAGTCCCGGTGCGTCTGCTCTCAGCAGCTCTGGGGGCCCTCCCTGCATCCCAGGCCCAGGCCAGGCTGGACTCCCTCCTCACCCCACCTCCGCCCCCGCACCGCCAGCACACAGCAGTCGAGTTGCTCTGCGTGTGCAGCTGTCTCTGGGGGTCTCCACTGCAAGGAGGGGGGTTGGGCCTTCTCACATCTGAATCCTCCCACTTCCACAACGGCTGGAACGGGCCGGGAAGCACGTGGGGAGCGGACAGACTTTGCTGAGCAAGGGGCGAGAGGACCTTCCCGACAGAGCACACGGCCCAAGCTGAGACAGTGTCACGGCTGCTCCTGGAGGGGTCTGGGCCACCCCCGCCCGGGATCTTACCTGCTTCCGTGACCTTGAGGTCAAACTTGACCTTGGAGGAGCCCGCAATGACCGCGTAGGAGCCCTGGTCGGTGGGGCTCGCATCCCGCACTGTCAGCGTGTGCCGCGTGCCCTCGGCCACCAGGCCGTACTTGTCGCTGGCGCTGATGTCACTGCCGCCACGCTGCCAGCGCACCTTCACCCCTGCCCGCTCCGTCTCGGCCTCGAACACCGCGGGGCTGCCCGTGGCCACCTCCATCGACCGTGGCTTCTTGCTGAAGGCTGAGACTGAAGGGGCCGCATGGAGGCTGCAGGGCTCCTGGCTCACCCGTGCACCCGCCCCGGCGGCCTCTTATTAAACACCCTGAACGCTCGCAGGCACCGCCTCTGTAATACTCTGACAGCTCGTGAGGGAGTCCGTTTCTCAGCTGAGCACACCAAGGCTCAGAAAGGCCAAGTGACTTGTCCAAGATCACACAGCCAATAGGAGTCCTCGTCTCCGCGCAAGACGTGGGCGATTGTGTGCCCTGTACGGGGACACGATTACCCCCCACACACACGCCATCGGGGCCCTCAGCAGGGGATGGGCCCTTGGCCTACTTGGAATGTGGCTAAATTTGTCCGTCAAGGGCCTCGGCCTGAGAATCAGCCTGAGATAACACGGGCCACCGAAGGGGGTTGGGGAGGAGGGTTGGATGCCTGCCCTGGAAACTTCCGGAAGGGCACAGTGCAGCCCCAGGACCCTGGGCTATGACCTTCTCTGCCCTTGGCCAGGGCTCAGGGGCCTCTTGACTGTCCTCTCCTGAATGTGGGGTCGTGCCTGTGCACAAGGTCATGAAGCAGATGATGTCACAGCTGGAAGGATCCGCCACCCTCCCCACCATGCAGCTGGGGAACCAGAACCGAGACCCCCAAAGGCAAGGACCTGTCCAGGGGTGTCAGGGAGTCTGGCCCATGGCTCCTGCCTGCCAGGATCCCTGCTGCAAAGGAGTGGGGCGGGGAAGGACTCCCCTCTGCTCTGAGAATGGGGGATGGCCCTGGGCACTTCCCGCCTTGGTGCGCTCCCCTCTCTGGGCGCCCTGACCCTGGGCTTACCTCCTCACTTCATCAGAGAGCTGGGAAAGGGGCTGAGAATCAGGAAAGGACCCAGGAGGACTGGTCCCCCTGCCCTGGCACTCCAATGCAGTGTCCCCACAAACTCCCTGGAGAATTCCCTCCTAGCCCTGTCCCCACTGCAGACACCCCCTGCCCCACGCCCCATGCTCAGGCTCTGACCCGACCCCAGACGGGACCTACCTGGTTTCTTTCCTGGCTCAGGCATCTTGAGAGCGGTCTCACAGGGCCCCAGACAGACACAGGTCACCCAAAGAGGGACTGAGCGGGGTCCTGTCGCTCTGACTATATATGGGACGTCCCCCTCCCCAGACCCCGCTTATCTGCCTCTTGCCTAGCCATCTGCTAAATATAGACAAATTCCAGGGAGCTGAGGTCTCTTAGGGAAGAAGGTAGGGCCACATGGTCCCTGGCTGGCTCCTGTGCCTTCCCCCTCCCCCAGCACAATGACAGCCCTTCTGTCCCCCCCTCAACTCTCGGTGAACCTCAGGGGTGCCCAAGCCCTGTTCAAATGTCCACCTGACAGCAAATTGTGCCTGGGGGTGTGTGGGCCCATTACCCCAAGGCGAATGGATCAAGAGCATCCCTGCCAGGGACAGACCCCAGGGCCCACTGCCCCATGTCCTGGTACTGCCGTTCCTCAGCCGCATAGCCCCGAGGTGTCCTCATCCGTAAAGCGGGACTGGTGACAGCAGCTCCCACTGCAAAGGCTTGTCATTCATACGAAGTGGGTTCGAGATAAAAATGCTGGGCCAGCAGATGGCACAGAGGTTAAGGCAGCTGGATCCCACATAGCCAGCTGCACGGTTTGAGTCCCTAACCCGGTGGTTTGAAGAACACGCTGAGCTGTGTGGGAAAAGTCCGAGAGGAAAATTGAGGGGAGGAAAAGGGATTAATGGCGGGGCCATCGCCCCTAGGGGAGGATTTCCCACTTTCCCTCTCTCTCTAGCTCTGTCTCTTTCTCTGGTGAGCATATGTACCCTATAGAAAAATTTTAAAGAAAGAAAAGAAAATGCTTATTAAGACAGTGCCTGCTAGGACCAGCAGTTGGCGTAATGGCTATGTCACTGTACTCTCATGTAGTCTAACTGCAGTTCAAGTCCTGGACCTGGTGGCTTAAAATCACGCCAGGCGCGTGTGCGTGCGTGCCCAAGATCCCAAGAAGAGAATGGAGGAGAAGGGATTGTGGCATGGCTACCCCCCCTGGGGAGTGATTTCTCTCTTTCTGTCTCTGTGTCTTTTTCTGGCAATCACACTCGTCCTATAGCCAAAAAAAAAAAATTGCAAAAAAAAAAAAAAAAAAATCG